ACTGCTGTCCGTCAGTGGTTCAAGCAACTTCGAAGGATTCTCAGCCTTCGCCACTCAATTCGGGCGGCCTCTCCTGCGGCCTCTGCGGTTGTCTACAGACTGCAAACCTGGAAAGCAGTCCATGAAGCCCCTGGCTTTAGCAAGGGATTTTCTTCCTGGTGGACCCACCGATCGGTCCAACTACACGGCTCACCTATGACTGTCACCCTTGCGGTGCCAGACGTGAACACCATCGAGCTTATCTACCAGGATTTCCGCGCCAATTACAGGCGCTTCGAGGCCTGGCATCTCCGCCAGCGTGCTCGGGCCATTGACGTGCGGCTGAGCGAGAATCAGGGCTCAATCTTCGCCTTCATCAGGGAAGACAAGCCAGCCTCCATTGATACCCTCACAGTTCGCCAGCACTACACAATTTTGGGTGTTGAACCATCCACCAACTTGGTTCATGTCGACAAGGAGGTCAGCATATGTAGCTCTTCGACTTGGGATCTCGAAGGGCAACCAGCCAATGTATCGGCACATGATGACTGTGTCCTACATGTCGACAGCGATTTTGTCCTATACCCCAGCCAGACCCTCACTCAGACCGATTTTGTCACTGAAACAAGTGACATTCATGATGCCTGCATTCACCTCTGGCAGTCTAGGTGGAACAAAAGTGCCGACCTCCCGGCTTCGGACCTTCAGCGCATTGCCGCGTTCACCCGGGCATTCATCCCATCCGGAAAGATGCCTTACACGCCGCTGACCACAACTCGCTGGAGAGCCGCTCTCCGGAAATACCGGCCCCATGCGGCCAAGGGCCCCGATGGCTTTTCCATTGGCGACCTCCTGCACTTACACCCTTACCTTGAGGATCAACTCGTCAACTGGTTCAATAACCTTGAGCGTGGGGCCACTTCTTGGCCAGCTCAACTCCTCGAAGGTGTTGTGAGGTGCATTGGCAAAGGCGCCAACCCTCAGGGCCCCGACGACTACCGTCCCATCGTCATCTATAGCCTGCTCTATCGCACTTGGGCCGCCATCAGGGCCAAGGAAGTGCTTTCCCACCTTGTGCCTTTCTTCCAATGCCACGCGTACGGCTTTCTGCCGGGACGGGAGACCACTCAGGTAGTGTATGCCATTCAGGCACTCATCGAGCTAGCCTCGCAGGCCGGCGGCAGTATGTGCGGATACTCCATCGACCTGCAGAAGTGCTTCAACAATTTGGCACGCTCACCAGTCTGGTTTCTCGCGGAGCACCTCGGGATTGGCAACCACATTCTCGGGCCATGGCAGGCCTTTCTCAGGCACAACCAGCGCCGGTTCATTGTTCGGTCAGCCCTCTCGGAGGGCATTCGCTCCAACAACGGATTTGCAGAAGGCTGCCCGCTTTCTATCATCGCCATGCTCCTGATAGATCTTTCCTATCATTGCTACCTCCAGCAGTTTGCCCCAGGCGCTGAGGCCTACTCCTTCGTTGACAACCTCTCCGTTGTCGCGGTCGAACCGAGTGCCCTTGTCCGGAGCTGGTGCACAGTCGAAGCATTCTGCGACCTCTTCCACTTGCCAATCGACATCAACAAGTCTTTTGCCTGGGCCGTCACAGCCCCGCACAGGAAAAGCCTTCAGCAGCTGCCTTTCCCTGTTGTGCGCGAAGCACGGGATCTTGGAGGCACTATGAGTTACGGCAAGGTTCTTCGTAACGCTGGCCTTGTCGATAGATGTCGAGGGCTCGATCACACCTGGACCGCCCTGAAGCGAGCTCCCGGCCCACTTCTGCTACGAGCAACAGTCCTATGGCAGGCCCTCTGGCCGCGTGCCCTACATGGCATCAGTACCTGCCTGCTTGCATCTAGCCACCTGGCCAAGCTGCGAACAAGTGCAGTTCGCTCCCTCCGTATTCAACGAGCCGGAGCTAACCCTCTATTGAGAATTGCCGCATCACTTCCGCTTCTTGCTGATCCTGAATTCTACCAGGCCAAGGTTGTACTGCGCGACGTCAGACGCATGTGTTACAAGCAGCCTGGGCATCTTGCCGAGTGGAAGCTTTTCATGCAGCGATTCGACGGTCAGTTTTTCCCAGGCCCGTACTCCAAGCTGCTACAGGTCTTGGCCCCTCTGCGCTGGCAGGTCCTTCGGCCTCCCAACCTAGTTGATCATGACAACCAGGTCTTTGATCTACTGGCGTGCAGCAATGGGGAACTCGAGCACCGTCTCGAGAACGCTTGGCATCAGCATGTCGCAGAACAGGTACAGGGCCGGCCCACGTTTGCTGGCCTCCACGGCATCGATACAGCGTGCAGTTATCACAAGAGGGCATCCCGCACACCACAGCAGGCCGCACAACTCGCTGCGCTTCAGGATGGGTCTTTTCGTACTTCTGCCCAGCACGCAAAGTTCGACCTTGCAGCCAGCAGCCTTTGCGTTCGATGTGGTACCATCAACGACTTTCGCCACCAGATAGTCAGTTGTGTTCTCGCCGATGAAGCTCGCCAGCCACACCAATGGGTTTGCGACCAGTGGGATACACTTCCGCAGTGTGTGCGAAACCACTTGCTTGTGCCTCGGAACCCCTTTGAGCTTAGCATCAAGAACGCCCTCCATGAACTTGCTGACCTATCTACTGATTTTTTTGCTACACCTTGCAGTGCAGGTCTACAACAGCTTTTCACCGACGGATCGTGCTTTCAACATCCTTGCAAACAGCTATCTTTAGCAGCTTGGGCAGTTACGCACGCCGGAAAACGGGTGACAATTGCAGCTGGACCACTTCAAGGTATTGTTCAATCCATCAGTCGAGCTGAAGCCACGGCTTGTTTAACAGCAATTTTGTGGGGAGCGCACAATGATGTACCTATCTGCGTTTGGACGGACTCGCAATATGTATCTGAGACCTTCTCTGGTATTGATGATATCGACCCCATCCACACCGAGAACTTTGACATTTGGGAACGCATTCAGGATGCGCTACGCACCAACCGCAGCTCCACTGTTCTTGTCAACTGGATCCCGGCCCATATTGACCCTCGGCGATGCGATTCGCCGTTTGAAGAATGGTTGGCGGTCGGCAACAGCGCAGCAGACAAAGCAGCGGTTTTTGCTAACAAAAGCAGGCCCACCTCTTTCCACGACGCTTGGAACGAAGCGGACCGGTATTTCAGGCACTGGCGCAACGTTTGTGATGCACTTGAGGCCATTTATACCAGCTTTTTGCAAACCGTGCAGCCGCTAGAGCCAAATCCCAGTGATGACCCTGCTGCGGATGAGGTTCACAACCGCCCTGGTCAGAACTGGTTTTCACGAAACAGCACCTGGGCGGACGAGCTGCCACTGCACTGGCATCAAAGCCTCGTCGAGAGCCTCGGGTCGTACCCGCCGGACTTCCTCAGGAGCTTTGGAGATTGGTTCCTAGCTCTTGACTGCCAGAGTGATGAGTGCACTGCGGTCAGCTGGCTCGAATTAACCATTTTTGCGGCCAAGTCATGCGTTGACTTCCCTGTACAGACTTCTGCAGGGCTTCAGGTGCCGCTGCACGCCTTCGCTAGACCAACGGTCACGGTGCTGATGCACTATGTTAGGACCTTTGTAGGCACGCTTGTCCGCTCTTTTGGACTTGGAGATCGCCTTGCTTCTGGCATTAACCTTCTTTCTTTTGGTGTTCACCCACCCCAAAAGGGCGTTTTCCTCGGCTGCTGCCACGCTTGCCTCGTTGACATGCGACAAGGGCTGTCAACATTCACGTCCGCTCGGCCCGTAAGGGTTGCTGCTGACCTTGCAAGGCCTGTCTAGGCCGGAACAGACCGCCCACTGCACCGCACTGCCGTGCATGGGCGCGAGCGCAAGTCCGCGTATCCACAAAATGCACTCGTTAGGGTGGATGTCCGCAGCTTCTTTTGGGGAGAAGGGGCAACATTCAGCTTTTGTGTTGGCGGTATTTCTCAGCGGGGGCGGAAAAAGGTTGAAACGCATGAATGTGAAATGTGAGTCACTGTTGAATAAAGGGCCTCCCCCAAACATTATTTGGGGGACCCGACACAGAAAACCGGCAAAACTGTGTGGGGTGGGATTGGCCTTTCCAAAGTTTAGTATTGATTAGTGTTGATTTAAGATTGCTGTGTGCTGCCTTAGTACTGGCTTGGGCTGGCTTCGTACTGGCTTAGCATTGGTTAGTATTGGTTTAGTATTGCTTCGATTGTTTCCGTCCGCTTCGGTCCTCTCTGCCTAGTACGGGCTTTCAATTGTTTGAGTATTCCTTTGAGCTGGCCCAGTACGAAGCAGGAAGAATGATCAGCCACTGGGACAAACCACCTACCAACTTGTGCAGTTTGTGAGAGCTGCAGGTGCTTCGCCAGCTTGCTTTCATCGGTGGGTTTCCTTTGGCTCCTGGGCTCTCAGGCATTTGTCCATATCCAACGCTCCCTTGGCGACCAAGTTACTGAAAAAAGGTCGGTTCCGCAGCTCTGTTTTTAGGGTAGAGGGACAAACACCAGCTTTCGTGTCGGCGGTTCCCAACGGGGGGGGGGGGGGGAGGTTGCGGAACTTCTCCAAGCATTGCCGGCTGTAGGGTTCAGCCCGGCATGCGCCCCAAGGAATCATTTCTTCTTGTATTCATGTCATGCATCCTCCTCTTCAGAAAGTATCCCAAAATGCCAGAGACATGTGTTGAAATGGGTGGCTTTTGAACAGAAGGACGGATGCAGACGGGCCGGAACGAGGAATCAACCCTCAGGTTTTCTTGCTGGTGCTCAGTAGGGAACGAGGGAACGAATCTGGGGATTCCCTTTAAGGAAGCCATAGGGTGATGGTTTTCTCGGTCATTCCAATTCTCATTTCCTGCATCTCCCGCGCACCAGCAGGTTTTTGAGGTCGAACATTGACGGTGATAGATGATTGAAGGCAATGTTGACCCCATATTAGTCACCCAGCCACCCACCCACCCACCCAGCCAGCCACCCACCCACCGTGACCAATTTCGTCCCTTTGGGGCCGTGGGGTTCCTCACAAATCCGCCCGCGCAGGCGAAGCACCGGAGGCTCCGGGCTCCGGACGCGGCCGGTCCGGGGGACTTTGTCACAAGCCGGGAGCCCAAGGATCAGCGAGGGGGGACAGGTACCCTTTTTGGGGGGTCGTTTCTTTCCTTTTTTTCGGGGGGGGGGGGGGGGTAATTTTGATTTAATGTATGTTCTTTTATTTTTTTATTGTTTTGTTTGGGGGGAGGGGGGAAGGTCGCCTATTTTGCGGACCCATTATTTTTGGGATGGGATGGGGCCGGGGTGGGGGGGGGCACCCTGAAAGTTCCCAACCAAGAATGGCGGTGGCCTTTTTCCTCCATGACCTGTGGGGGGGTTGGACTGTTTCTTCGCCCCTTGGCCGTTTTTGGGCCTCGTGGCAGGCTTGCTACAGCCTGCAGCCAGGCAAATTTATGATTATGACCGCCCGCCTGCGGTCATCTCCATGCGTTGAAGTCAACCGATCTCGTGCCCTAAGCCTTCTGCGGCGAGACGCAATTTTTGCCATTTGGCGGCGTGAGATTCGTCTTATAGCTCGGCCTCAGCATCGCCGGGTTCTTGCTGGGAGCTGCATACGGCCGGCAAAGCGAGCTGTTGGACCCATTGCCTTCAACTTTAGGCTGTGAGTGATAAGGGTACGTTGCTGGAGCAGCGCTTGCCCACACACCTCAACGGAGTTTCAACATGTTTGCACGCATCAACATTTCATTGCCCGCTTTCTCTCCATGCGCCGGGGTTGCTTCAAGAGGTGCCAAAAGTCTGCTTCGCCATAGATCTCTTTACCGCGGCTTGCCAAGAAGGTTTGAGCAAACCACCATGTGTAGATGGTTTGTTGCCATTTCACCGGCGGAGCTGCTGTAGGATCCTGCAGGTTTGCTTCATTTGTCGCTGTGCTTCGTGCGATTTCTAGTGGGGCGGCGGCCCAAAATCAGCCTCCTTGCCCGGGCTTCTCTTCGCATGTAGCAGTCGAAAAGAAGCGCCTGGCAAGAGAAATTCTGAGGCATAGATATATCACATCCGCCGGAAAAGCGACGTTGACCGGCCCAAAAACTCAAGCAAACACCAAGCAGAGGAAAGCAGTGAAGGCCCAGGTTTCCTGAAGCCAAGGGACACGCTATTGCGTCGGCTGTGCATGGCATGTCAGCCATTAAGCTTATTCCTACTGTGGATGGACGAAATCCTGCACCACTTGGAAAGCATTCTTTGTTGGTATTTGCAGGGAAATCATCCTTCCAGGGTCTCTGAGGTGGTGCAGGATTTCGTCCATCCACAGTATGTTGGGGTAAAGTGGATGGATGAACACGGCAACTTGGCTACTGTTCACTTCGGGATACTTCAGGGACTCCAGGACCGACTCCCAATTCGAGGACTCCGAAAAATGCACACAACTAGGGGACCATCCCCGATTGGCTATGCGGTCCTCCGGATGAATTCTAAGATGAACTGAGCCCCCAAACACTCCATGTACGGCATGTTTACCTTCATTTTTTACTCCCGACTGCGTCAATTGTTGGTTGCCTACTACCTACATGGATTGTGTATGTGTGTGTGTGTGTGCCAGGTCGTGCCAGTCCTTTCGCCTGTGATTTAGCCGGTTTGCTCTTCAGCACCAGGCCTCGCCAAGTTGCAGCATGACGCTGAGATGCTTGCTCACTTGGAGGCATGGGAGTGTGCGCAAGCACTTGGTGTTTCCTCGTTTTTTTCTGGGATTTGTTTGACTACCCTACCTCCAACAATCAAGGAAGTGGACAGGGGGCTTCCCCAAAAGGAAAGTAGTCTTCCAATGCCAACTTCATGATTGTTGGAGGGGACGTATTTTGCGTAGCGTTCACTAAATCTGGACAATAATCAACCGCATGAGATTCGGGGCAACAGCTGACATAGGTTTGAAGGTTTGAACTGGTGAGGTCAGTGTTTGTACTTATAGAGCTTGCAGCGATTCACAGAAAAGCCAACAGGAAGCCGTGCCGAAGTCAGTGGCTTGGTGGTGCCGCCAATTGAGTATATAGGTCAAAACTAGGTCACCAGGGGGACCGCAAGCGTTAGTCTTTGGTTCCATTTGCAAGGGCAAGCCATTTTGGGGTGACCCTATTTTGGACAACCGCAGCCAATGCATAACGGAATCTCAGTCAGCATGCAGTCAGACAAGTACGTACGGAGCTGCCATGGTGATCTCGGTATCCGAGTGTTGGTTGAATGAGCCGGTTTTGGGGGATTCCCGAATAAAAAGAAACCAAATCGGGCATGATTTTTATAGGGGTCATGGAGATGCTCATTAGGCTAACCAGTGTTGTGCTGCAGCGGCCGACCTCAGGTTTGCATGCTGGCCGCATGTAGATTTTGTGGTTTTGCCCCGGAGTGTCACGTACTCCCAGGGCTTTGCTCAAGCTCCTGACTCCCTGACAGATCTCTGGTTTCAGCATTAGGTGTTAAGCCACATTGACACCATTCCCTGGAAAGTTCCGGAACGCTCAAACGCACTCGGGGATTCCTCCATTTATCTCCCCAAGGAAGGACATCTAAGTGAAAAACTCCCTAAGAACCTTCAACTTTTTTCAGGGACGCCTTGAGAGGGATATTCTTCTTCTCGGGCAAAAAGCAGGTCGAGCGGGTTCTCGAAATGTGAACCCCCTTTTTGTATGGTGCAGAGAACCAAACGGACGCACAATGTCACAACTGCAGAGAAATCGTTTGCTAACTTTCGAAATACCCAAGTGATCAACAACCCTTTGCCCTACAGATTTACATGGAACGGAACCCCCAGAAAACAATGAGTTTGTGGAGGGATCAACACCTCTTCCCTCCAATCATTTACATACCTTCCAAATCACATTTTTAGAGGAATCTCCTTTTTTGTGTGACCACCTTCTTGAGTTTCCAATGTCTTCTAGGTCCCCCAGTAGTGCCCTTTTACCCTTTTGGGGGGGGAGGGTTCCCCTACTAAAATGGACTACAGACAAAAGTTGGTACCCTTTTTCTAACCTCTCCATAGTGTTGATAGGTAGTGGCATTCCGACATGATACTGGCTCAAGAAAAATTGACTGCCGCCCGTGCTGACATTTAGGTAGATTCCACCTTTCAACAGGTTATCAGCCGTATCGCTGGTACCTTGTACAATCAGCTCTCACCCGCGCCGCAATGGCGTCAAGCGGCGACGGATGCCACCCTGCCATAGCAAGGATGAACGAAGCAGTGGCCAACGAATTGATCAAGGGTGGGCATCCGGAAGGGAAACCGCCATGCAATCCGTCACAGCGCTCCCGAAGCAGTTTTCCTGAGTCCGACCAAAGCGACGCGCTTGTGCCCATCACTTCGGTCGTCCTTCCGGAGGATTCAATGGGAAGCGGAGGGGAACCTCTCGCCGGACATCAACCTGGGCAAGAGATGCACGCGCACATGACTAAGTATGAGACTCACCTTCATCAACATCATGTGAGCGCCCCGAACATATATCAACATAGTCAGACGGTGAATGTGGTCAACACAGGTCCGAGTACGGAGGAAGTGGCTGCCTATGCTTCGGCACGCCACGACGCCATCATCAATCAGCTCCAAGCAGGCCATGTTGAGGAAAAAGGCCGACTCTATCAGGACGCGGTGAACCACATCAATGTATGCCAACAAGAGGCAATGGCGAAGGAAAGAGAGTTCAACGAGGCAAGGCAGCAGTGGGTTGCTCAACGCTTTAGAAGCTGAGAAGAAGTATGAACAGCTCAAATTGATTTGGGAAGTCACCCACAACAAGCAGAAGGAGGACGCGGACAGGAGCGCTGCTGAAATGAGGGAGATTATCATGAAGCAGTCGGGGACATTGAAGCACTACGTCATGAACTGAAATCTCGCAGTGAGCAGAGTAGTTCTTCTAATGTTCCGATTTTCGGTCTGAGGCCAAAGGCCTCTCCTGTACAGACGTTTCCTCCTCCCGGCCTGGATCTTAGTTCTAAGGTACGTATCAGGTCAGCTTCCACCGAACTCCGTCGTGATGGGCCAGGTGCCGCCGATGATCTTGACGGGGATGCCGAGGAATACGAACCGACATCTCCGGCACAGGACCCAAATGATGGTGGTGGAAATCCATCAGGCGCAGGTAAAGGCCAGAGCGGAGGCGGTGGGGAACCACCTGCCGGCGATCCCGATGATGATGATGATCATGACGACGACGATGACGACGGGAATGACGATGGGAAGAAGAGCAAGAAGGACAAGAAGAAGAAGAAGGACAAAAAGAAGAAGAGCAAGAAGGACAAGAAGAAGAAGAAGAGCCACAAGAAACGAAAGGGTGGATCTCCTTCCGACTCTCCGAGCTCTTCATCGTCCAGCTCCTCAACATCATCATCCTCATCATCATCTTCGGAGAAAGCCCGAGCGATCCGCAAGAAGCTCAACAAGATCTTGGGTAAGCAGACGACCACTGTGGACGCAGACAATGACAAGCCCAAGGTCAAGGAGGCGGAGAGGATCATCATTCCCTCCTTCCCACTTCCTGAGAGTTACAGGAATTGGCGCATCAAGGTGCGGGAAGCCGTATGCGCGGCGTCCGATCGCCCCGATGACGCTTTCACGTGGATCAGCAGAGTGTGGGAGCCCGCCGTTACGATCGAGGAGCTTAAGGAACCAGGTACTTTCCTCACCTTGGACGCCAAGTTGCTGTCCGCCCTCACCAACATCATTCAGGGTGACCTGGCGAGACAAGTCGACACCTTCAAGGAGGTAGAGGCGCAGAAGAGGAATCCAGTTCGTGGGAGACAAGTGCTTCTCATGGTGCACGAGCACCTGAGCACGAACATCAAGCACGGAGCCACCTATGCCATGGAGGATCTCCTCAACGTGAGGCTCGTGAACGATAACCTCACTTCCTTCATGCGTAGCTGGGAGGGTGTCCTAGCAGGGATGAATGCCAAGACACCGGATGACTCCATGCTTGAGGCTCTGTTCTACAATCAGCTGAAGAAAAGTAAGCAAATGCAACACCATTTGAATGTCTATTAAGCAGGCTGACGCCTGATGCCGCCGACCCCCAATGTGCTTTTATTGTTGATGTTGTGTTAAATGTTGTTTTAAGAATTCGAGGTACGAGGTAAACATTATGATGATGATTATTATTAATTGGCGAGATTCGCAAAAAGAGAAGAAAGAAGAAGACAGAAGTAACTCTAAGGTGTAATAAAAGATGGACTGGATCTCCTCGAAATCTTGGATCAAAGAAAAGAGTACCCGAATGAAGATCACCCAACATTAAAACAAGTGTCCAGATAAGATAGGCAACGAAAGCATCATCATCATCATCATCATCATCATCATCATCATCAGTGTCATCATCATCCTCATCAGCATCATCCTCACCATGCATCATCACCATCAGCATCATCATTCATCGGCATCAACATCATCATCATCATCATCATCATCATCATCACCATCATCATCATCATCATCATCCATCATCATCATCTATCATGACCATCATCATCGGCATCATCCCCATCATCATCATCATCATGACCATCATCATCATCATCATCAGCATCAGCATCATCATCATCATCCATCACCATCATCATCATCATCATCATCATTCTCACCAGCATCATCGTGATCATCACCATCATCATCCATCATCATCATCATAATCAGCATCATCCCCCTCATCATCATCATCATCATCATGATCAGCATCATCATCATCATTATTATGATCATCATTCATCATGAACATCATCATCATCATTATGATCATCATCACCATCATCATCATCACCATTCATCATCATCATCGTCATCATCATCATCATCATCATCATCATCATTATGATCATCATCATCGCCATCATCAATATCATCATCATCATCATCATTATCAGCATGAGTATCATCATCAACATCGTCATCATCACCATCATCATCATCATTCTCACCAGCATCATCGTGATCATCACCATCATCATCGTCATCGTCATCATCCTCAGCATCATCATGATCGTCAACATCATCATCATCCTCATCATTCATCATCCTTATCATCATCATCCTTATCATCATCATCATCATCATCCACATCATATCATCACCATCATCATCATCATCACCGCCATCATCTTCAGCAGCATCATCATCATCATCAGCATGAGTATCATCATCAACATCGTCACATCACCATCATCATTATCATCGTGCATCATCATCATCATCAGCATCATCATCATCCTCATCATCCATCATCATCCATCATCATCATCGGCATCATTATCACCATCATCATCATCGTCATCATCATCATCCATCAGCATCATCAATCATCATCATCATCATCATCATCATCATCGGCACGATCATCATCATCGTCGCCAGCATCATCCTCATGATCATCCTCATCATCAGCATCATCATCATCATCGTCATCATCATCATCATCCTCATCATCCATCAGCATCATCATCATCAGCATCGCCATCATCATCATCATCGGCATCATCATGATCATCATCATCCATCATCATCATCATCATCATCGGCATCATCATCATCGTCATCAATATCAGCATCATCATCATCATCATCATCATCATCAGCACCACATCATCATCATCATCATCATCATCATCATCATCATCATCATCATCATCATCATCATCATCATCATCATCATCATCATCATCGTC